AAATATCTTGATTATTTAAGATAAATTTCTTGAAATGGAATTGCTGGTCTAAATGGTAATGACCTTTTTAAAGTCCATGATGTTTTACCCAACTTTTCTCCAGAAAGAAGATATAGATTTCTACTGTCACCGGGACTATGTAAAAGTATGTTCAGCGTTGAACACCAGAAATGCCTTGTTTATCTTTATTCTTATTTGTCTTCATTAATTTTCTGTATGGAAAACGAGGTCTCATTGTATTAATTTGAATTTGTCTCTATAAAACAAATAGCTACTTTTACTTCTTTTATGTATTACTTATTATAATCTGCCTCCAGTTTTCCATATTGGGTATTCATTTTTTACTTCCTAATATGTGACCATTTTTAAATATGTTAAAATCATTAACATTTATTTCCCATATATGTTGCAAATACTTCCCTCTTCATCAATTATTTTATTTCCATAACTTAGTTCAGGGTGTCTTATTGCAATACATATGTTTTAAATTTTGTTGTAACCATATAAAATTATCTTTCTGTGTTTTCAGTCTTTAATTTCATGCTTTAGAAAAATCATTCTCATATCAATATCAATTGTTATCAATATATGTTTTATTCTAGTATCTGTAATCCCTCTATAATTTTTTGGTATATTTCATGATGAATCATTGCAAAATTTTTAATTCTTCCAAGTCATTGTTCTGCTGTCTCAACAGGAATAAGTGAATAATGCATCTTTTCACTGACTTGAAAAGCCACCTTTCACATACTACATTTTTCTATGTAGTATCTTCTGAAATTTTTTATTTATGCAAGTTTCCAGTAAGGAGGGAAGAAATGTTAAAGGGAAAGACACAGGAAGGAAAATGGAGGTGTTTCCTGTACAGAAAACTAAAGGCAATAGAAGGCAAACATTGGATGAAGGTGGTGACAACAGTGCTCAATGAGGGACATTTTTGAAAGGTCTGAGATCTGTGAAAGTTTCAAGAGATCAGCAAAGAGACAGGATACATATGGCCTTTATCTGCTAACATTGGGGATGTCCCATGTGTCTTGTTTTGTTACCTTTCAGTGATTCCCAAAATTAAGTGTGTCAAATATCTCCTGCAGGAGCTTGATGAGATTTGAATTTTGAGCACTACTGGAGTGAGGCTAATGATTCAGCATTTTCATCCACACCACAGGTAATTCTGGTGCTGGAGGGCAATGGAATGTGCTTTGAGAACTATTCCCTTGGATTAAAAAAAAAAACATACAAGTATGGCTGGGCCTAGGAGAGGGCCCTGGAGAAGCAAACCACAGGAAATCAGAGTGAACTTGCTGTAGTGCACAGGTGCAGTAGCAAAAAGGACCTGAGAGTGTAAGACAGGTTCTGAGCTTCTTGGGTTCCCATGTGGTGGTGTGTTGGATCACATGTGACATGTGAACATTTCAAAGACAATCCATTCATAACAATTATAGTAACAAAGTCTGCAGAGAGTAAAGTAAAAAAAAAAAAAATGGATTCAAAGTTAATCGTTTTGCAGCCTAATAGGATTTGTCTGCTACAAGAGAATGGATCAAGTTTTGTCTAGGGCCCTGAAAAGCGGGCATTCATGTATGTGTTAGCAGTAAGAAAGAAAAAGAAAGTTGAGAAGCAAGTACAGACTTTGTGGATGCCAAAATGGAAAGGGCCAAATCTGTGGAATGTATGAGGCATGGAGGGAGACTCTTTTTGAGAAAAGTGGACAATTCAGATGTCGGAGATTGGGGTCTTTAAACACTCACAGATTGGCTGACTAAGGAATGTGATCATATTAATAATCACTGTTATCTTTTCTCTGAGAACTGCATGACTTTGGAACTTTTTGTTACTGTGACAGGTGTATTACAGAAATAATTTTTTTGTTAATTATGCTATTCTCTTCATGTCATTTATTTCCATTGTTTAAACAATTTCCTTTGAATAAAATGTGGTTGGAACACTTGCGAAAGGGTGAGCCTGGGCTGCCCAGTGGATAAGGACCTTAGAGGAGGGATGTGTAATAAATGCCCCAGAAGGTAACTCAGGTGAGTCATGCCATCCGTAACTAATTGGTAATCCAAGAATGACTTTTTTTGAGATGAAATACTCTAGAGTATTTTCTGAAGGCAATGAATTACTGTAGTTCTAAAAACATGGGTAATGTTCATGTCTAAAATTTGGTTACTATATCAAAAATTTAAAATATTAATCAAAGAACAAAAGCGTTAGGAACCCTTTTTCTTTTAGATTTAAAGCTCAATGTGAAACTGTCGATGAACCGTGTAGTGGAATATATTTTGATTTTTTTAAAACTGCATTTTCTTTTTCTCATTTAGGGTCACCTAATCAGTCAGCGATTCTTTCCCGTTGATATAAAACTAACCAATTGTTTTATAATGTCAAACAATTTCCTCTTTCTGCTGAGGTTTTAGCTACCATACTGCACTGTGCAAAGAATGTTCATTGCATCATGGTCTAAAAAGCAAGATGCAGAATCATGAAGCTATTGAATTGCAGTTCTGGCTCAGAAAGTGAGTCCCTCTGTGACATCAGTTATGTTCTAAATCTTTCTATCTTCACTCTTTTCTGGGAAAGTGATGGCTCTCCGTGTAATTCTTCCTTTCAGAGGGGTCTTGTGGGGATTAATCAGACAGAGTACGTTTGAAGGTGAAATATGTGAAATATAAGTTGACTTTTAGGCAATTTCAGAATACATTTCAAGTGTGTATAACTTTCATTGGTTACTCAATGAATAGAGCTTCTGTGAGCTATAGGTTTGGTTTCTGGGCTTTTGAAATATTACACCATCACTAGCATGTGATAACTGCCAGTTTGATTTTACTATGTTCAGCAGAATTGTAAGAATTTCACATTATCGATGAATATTTTATGGAAGCTAAAGCACTATGGTGACTATTTCACCGAGTAAATAAAAGATATTTCTGAGTCATTACAAACAACAGGGATATAAATAGCTAGTTAAAATAATGACCAGTTATCAAATATAGATTACTAATGGATGTATTTTTCCGTTCAACAACGTAACAGCATCAAGCTTAAGAGAATAGTCACCACAGATCCTGAAGTCAATGATTTTATTTTTTTTTTTCAAATAGGACAGCATATTCTGAATTTTTAACTCTTTTCTGATTTTGAAGTTATCCAGTGTCAGTTTCTCTCGTTTGTGAATTTCAATATTAATGAAAGAGAGAAACATCTGAACACCTTTGAACATGGCTGCAAATTTGAAAAAATAGTAATAGACGTTTACAAAGTGATGTGTGCCCAACTGAAAAGAAGTTTTAGGTTTATGTAAGTAAAGTCTTCAATAAATTGATTTGCTTACCCCATAAACAAGTTCTCCTACCATCCCATTCCAGATTTTTGTGTCTGCATCCCTTGCTCCATATTTTCCATCAGGGACAATGGCAATTTTATACTTGATACCAATATGTTTTGCAATTTCAGATGCCAAATCTACACAGTATCCTTCATACTTGTCATTTCCTTCAAACATTTCATGATTTTTCTTGTACATAACATATGGGGATTCCTATAATGAGAGAAGTAGAACTGTAAAGGAGAAATTATAAAACATTTGAAAAACCTTAAGTAACTTTCCAGTTTCAGAATTTGACAAAGAGAGTATATTTAGTATTGGTACACATACTGATTTTGTGTAGCTATAAATAAATAATAAAACAGATGAATAAATATGATCAGAGGATATTACCTGGCTTTACTCTGGACATTAAAAGTCAAATCTTTAATTTTCTGTTGAGTGATGATTACATACCTAGTACTGTCATGGGGATAGGAAAACTGTTAATTGCCTAGAAAAGCATAAATATCTTCTCTGGCAATGGAATTAGTATTTCCAAAATACCTCATGAAACTGAAAACTACTAGTCAGCTTAATGTAATAAAAGACTCATTCCAGGTCACAGGTCTACATGTTCTGCATCTTATTTACCCATATTAAACTGTGACATCCTTAGGAAAATGGCTATATCATTTTTCTTTGATCTCTAATGTTTAGCAAGATACCTGTCTCAGAGCAGGCACTTGCTGCACAAATGCTCAAAGAAAAAATAAATGAATAGTTTAAAAATTCTTCTATAGATAGTTATTTACATTGCTTTCTTAATGTTACCCAATATTTTGCTTTAAATGTGGTTTGTGCTCCATGAATTTTAATTGTATTATAAAATATGTCCCTAGTGGAAGCCTATAATTTTCTTCCAATTGTGACAAGCACACACTACAAATGATTTTCCCATTTGGTTTTCCAAGCAAGTGAGATAGAAAATAGGATAAAGAATTATTTGCATTGCTTTCCTAATGTTGCCCAATATTTTGGTTTTAAATATTGGTGGCTAATAATTGCTGGACAGTTT